AGGGGACCTCCACCCGTGGGTGCGTGTCCCACGCAAACAGTGAGCACCCCCCAGCCAGGGCGGGGAAGTGGCAGAGACAAAAAGAGCAGCTCGCAGCACTGCCCTTTTGGAGGTTTTTTTGCTTTATAAAATGTGTTTTGAGGCTGGAATAAATCTTCCTGACTTGTGAGCACAGTAGACCCGGCACAGGCATTGTTTTGGGTGGATCAAGTGCAGAGGTCCGCACTGATCCATGGGTCTTGGAGGATGAGGGTGCTTATGCGGTTCATGATACCGCGTGCGGTGCTTCCCGGTGAACAAAGAACAAACACCTGGTGAAAACTCGTCGAGAGGCTGGATGGAGCAGAGAGCTCTCGGGGCAGAGCAGCTCCAGGTCCCCGCAGTCCGGTCTCCCCTCTCCGCTTGACACCAGCAGCGATGGCCATCGTTTAAGGTCAACGATGGCGTCAACATCAACCCCGTGGCAGCTGATTTCATCTGGAGGGGGTTTGGGCTGGATTCACCCCTGGAGTGGTTCAGGCTGCTCATGGTGTGACCCTCGATTCCTCCCGCAAGTATCAGGCAAGGGTTTGTTCTGCGGCACCGGAGCTGCCTGGCAGGTATGCGACGAGGACTCAACCAATTTCCAGCCCATTGTTGCTGTAGACTGTTAACTCTTGGCACAAAGCTGTATTTTTTGGATGATGCGTGTTAAAAATGACTTAAGCATCTTTCGTCTTTTTGTTTTAGGAAAAATGTCAGACGGTTTCTCTGTAAGTATGGGTTTCTTTAAAAAAATCTGGGGGCTGTGGTTGTTTAATTGCCTTGAAGTGGGGACCTTTGGCAGGGATGGGGACGTGTCATTGCTAAATTGCATAACTCCTCAGATCCGCTCCAGTTTTGGAGTTTAAAAAAAAAAAATCCAGTAAACCAGCATTTACTGGTTTTCTGGAAACCTCAGCCCAAGCAGTCCCCTCACCGCTGCTGGGTTGAGCTCTTGCCCTTGGCGCAGGCCGTAGGCTAGAAAAGTTGGGTCTTGGAGGGCTCAACCTGACCCCAGGATTAATGTCACCCACCTGACCCTCTTCCTCTCCCCTCTGTCCCCAGTTATCCGACGCCTTGCCCAGCAGCAACAATCCCACCCCCTGTGCCCCCCCACCCCAAG